TTTTTTTTTGCGGAACCGGGGATTGAACTCAGATCATTGCGTTTGCCAATCAAGCGCTTATCCTAGTGAGCCATCTCCCCAGCTGGGCTATATAGATTTAATTATTTCAAAAAATGATAAACAAAGCAGAATATCTCATAACTTCTCTTGCAATCTAATGAAGAAGTGTTATGGACCATGTAGTCATTCTTCCATTGCTCTAAGCGGGAATGTTGGAGTTAAATTTTTAGTTTAAAAATAGATGAACACCAGTATCTTTCTTCCTATGGCTCAACTGAATGATAACCTAAATCAAAGAAGTTTTTATAAATACTTATTAAGAGGAAGTAGATGAAATAACTTACCAGGTAGTAAAAGATCACCAGGTAGCATTATATATCTCTTTCTATATGTTATTTCTAATCCCCAGATCACTGCTTGCCCACATCACCTGCAGTGTCTGCTATACTCTAACCTATAAATAACACTAACCTTCAAATGATGGCCTTGTGAGCCACAGGTGGTACAGCGCCACCAATATTTAATACAGAAGAAATCGGTTGGAGAAGATGTCCTCCCATTTCTTTCTCAAGTTCTCCAGTTTTGCTTTATGTGAGAAATATCTACTCTGTTTAGTTGTTGTATTTGTGATCTGTTTTCACTACAACATAAACAGCCCACTGTGTAATCCACATGAAAAACTTTCAAATATATATACCGGTTCCAAGAGAAAATCTCGCCCAAGTCATTTTATAAAATAATCAAGCCTGGGGTGTTGGTACATGTCTTTGTCACAGCACTTAGGGACATTGAGAAAGCTCAGTTCCTAGTACTACCAACAACAAAAAACAAAACAAAGAAAAAAAAAACCAAAATTTAAAAATCATGGGGAGAAACTATAGAACAAATTGAGAAAGACTGATCAGGAATGTATAATTCCTCAAACCGTAAGAATAAAGTAAAACTTTTATAAATAAATAAATGATGAAGTTATATATTTTCTAATTATAATCTATGTAAATAGTTAATTATATTAGTTGTTCATTTATATGCTCAAAATTTATTGAGTTTGGATCATGCATGATGAAGTATTTGCATCATGTATGATATAATGTGTGGTATAATAACTACCACAGTGTTTAGGAAGACTGCAGGATTTCTAGCAAGAAAATCACACTTATGCATAAAGTTTTTAATTCCATAGAACAAATACATATAATCATAAAATAGTTTCAGCTTAGAAAAAGAATGAACAATGTCACCTGCCTTCTTCAGTGAGATGCTTCATTTCTTTCTCTTTTTTTTTTTTTTTTTTTTGTGGTATTGGGGATTGAACTCAGGACCTTGCACTTTCCAGGCAAGCACTTATTCCACTGAGCCATCTACTTGGCCCCAATGAAGAGAAGGAAAAAACTCTTCTTAAAGTACTATATTCATTTTCTTCCTGTGGATGAACCACTACTATTATGGACTACCGGACTATATTGGAATATTTGAATTCACCCACCTACAATATTTAAATGACAATGGAATACCCTTCTCTGACAAAACTAAACAAAAAAGGGGATACAAATGAATGAACATTTTGTATCTGCATATTCAAGATAGGATATACTGCTACATTCTCTTAATTCAATGAATAAGATTTGTTCTAATAGTGTTTGTGGACGGGATGTAATGTCTGCATTTTATACAATGTATAACCACTAAGACAACAATGTGCAATGTACTTATTACTGAAACTGTCCTGATTGGTTCTGAAACTGTCTCATTGCTATTTGTTTCTCAATAAAATTATTTTTTTGTTTTGTTTTTGTATTTTAGGGAAGGGGCTACAGGTTGGGTCTCCTGCTACTCTCATGCAAATCCAAGGGTGTTCAGGGTCTCACTACTAGATCAGACTTATAGTGATCCTCTTGTTTACAGCCTCCGAAGAGCGGGGATTACAGGCATGTGCCACCATGCCTCAACTGCCATCTTGGCAGGGCCAGCACGGCAGGCCAAGGGATTGCTTGCCCGCTTACTGGCGCTTTAATCTGCTGAGCTGTTTGGCCAGCCCCTCAATAAAATTATTAAAAAAAGATTTTTTAGGGGGCGGGGAGATGGCTCAGTAGAATAAGCACTTGCCTGGCAAGTGTAAGGGCCTGAGTTCAATCCCTGGTCCTGCCAAAAAATAAAATAAAATAAAATTTATTTTTAAAATATAAATAAAGATTTTTTTTTTCTTAAATCTCTATCAGTTACCTCTATCAAAGTATCATGCTTCTAGGGGTCGGGGAAATGGCTCAGTAGGATAAGCGCTTGACTGGCAAACGCAAGGATCTGAGTTCAATCCCCGATTCCGCCAAAAAAAAAAAAAAAAAAAAAAAAAAATACCATGCTTGTATATAAACAAATACATGCACAAAGAGACTTTAGAAATGTTTTTCCTAAATTGACAATGATAAATAGTTCTCATAAAACCCTAAACAGTTGTGATTTTGAACAGAGAAGGAACAAATTAATATCTAACATTATTTCCCAAGTGGTTTTGAGGACAGACATTCCAGTTCTGTCTCTACTGACTTCTTTACCACCTGTGGCACCTTCAGCTCAGAACAGCCAGTTCTTCGTACTATGGAACAGTTCTGCACCTTCAATAAAAACACTGAAAATATGATCACTATTGCCAGGTAGTTACCTTTTCCAGGTGAAACCAACGTATTTTAATGCCTCTTCGGCTAAACAATCAAGAACATAGCACACATGCTCTCCATAACCTGACTTTAATTTTGAAGGGGGAAAATCTGCAGTTCTACCCTGGAAAACAAAAGACAAACAAGCTACTGTTAGTTATCTCTGGGTGTCAAAATATTTTAAGAACTGAGGAATACATGTCTTTTTCAAATAACTTAAAATAACCATAATTACATTCTTAGATATTCATCTAAGTCTTTTTTTAATCCATTGATACATTTAAAAAAAACAGAATAAAGGCATTTCATTGTTAAAAGTACCAAATTAAATGCTAATTACATGACAGCACCAGATGTTGGGATAAAAAAAAAATCAGGAAAAGCCTTGGTAACATATGAGGTGTGATTAAAAACTATAGTGAATGCTTATTTAAAAAAATTATTATAGTAAAATACAGCTACCATCAAGTCCCTCAAACTACTCCTCCTCCAACTCCACTTCAAACACACTTATCCCAAGCAGTTTTGAAGTCTGCTTTCATGAGTATCTTTAGATGTATTGCTGTAGCTGAGTTGCTGTCTTGAACTGATCCAAATGTTTACCTTTCATAGTCATTTGGGAAGACCCAGAAGTCAGGGTGCCAGATCCACCAAACGAGGAGGCTGAGCATACACAAGTAAAATTTTTAAAAGGTTGTCGATGGCTCTTGGGAGCACTGTTCACTGTATTTTTGATCACACTTTGTAAAGATATGAAAGGACTTTGAGAACTGCTTCACAAAGCGGCAAGAATTCGAAGAGAGGTGTGTCTGATGCGGGGAGGGGGTTATTGTGAAGGGATTAACAGCAATGTGTCTTTAATTATAGTAAATTTTAAAATTTAAATGTCCAATAAAAGGGCTGGGGAGATGGCTCAGTAGAATAAGCACTTTCCTGGCAAGCGCAAGGGCCTGAGTTCAATCCCTGGTTCCGCCAAAAAAAAAAGAAAAAGAAAAAGAAAAAAAATGCAAATGTCCCTTGTATCATTTAAACTGTAGAGGGATATGGTGATTCACTTGTCAAAAAGTAGTAGCATGTCGTATTTTCTTTAGGAAAAGTCATAAATGAAAAGTACAACTGCTATCATAGTCTATCAAAGTTACCTTTTAAAATATAAAGTGTATCAACATCAGTCTTTTACCATTCTTTTAGAAGAATTATCTACCTATGAATATACTCTGAGACTTATCAAGATTAAGAAAAATATTATTACTTTGACCTATGAAAAGTATTTCAGAAGTGACATTTATGTTGTAATATCAACCATTTTGAGGTTTTACCAGAAAACAAATTTAGAGATATACACACAGTCCCAGAGGTGTCATCTAAAAGGCTAATATTTGTTACTGAATCACCAATATCAAAATTCATAAATTGAGAACATGCAGAAAGAAAGATGTTTGCACTTACAAACGACCGAAGCTCAGATAATATGTTAGATATCGTTGCATTAGGATCATCATACTCTTGAGGCTGCTCAAAGGGACGTCCTGCTTTATTAATCAGCCAAGCAGCAAGAATGCAAAACATGTAGAACTGTTCACCAGGGTTGGTAGGGAGAGCAAAATAGTGTCTGTTTCAAAATAAGGGAGGAAGGGGAAATGTGAAATAGTGCAAATAGTTCTATAATAACTACTGGAGCCAAGTCCAAAACTGCTAAAGAATCATCCCCTGACTATGGACCTCAAATCAAGACACTGATAATTTACTAATTCACTCTCTGAAATTTCCAGTAATGTTCAGCACACACATTAAAGTTGTGTTTTGTTTTGTTTTTTGGTGGAACCAGGGATTGAACCCAGGGCCTTGTGCTTGCCTGGCAAGCACTTATTCTACTGAGTCATCTCCCTGGCCCCTAAAGTTTTGAATCAACAGGAGAACAATTACCACTACACGCAAAATATTATACCAAAAGGGTGGTAGAAAATGTAGTCATGTGAAAAGATACAGCATATGAAACTTTTTCCAAAATTACTTAAGTAGTAATTCTTAAGGAAGCACTCCCTGAAAATAATAATTTGGAATCATGAGAATCTCAAGAGTTTAAAAAAGACCTTAAAAATGATTCGATATGCATTTTTATTGTTTCTAATCTATCCCTTTCAGCTATGTAAGACAGTTGCTTTCATCCTGGTTGCATATTCAAAGTAACTGAGTAGTTTATAAAAATGCTGCTACTTGGACAAACACTGCTACTTCTCCCATCAATGGACCATAACTTCTGATAGTGGAACCCCAGTACAGGTAGATTTCCAAAGTTTCCTACATGGTTCTAGCATGCAGGATTAGGAACCCTATCCCATTTCCAGCCTGATGAACAACTGTTGAGTTCTGCTAAATCCCCTACTCTGCTGGAGACAGCCTGGGGCATCAGTGTGATTTATAACAAAACATGGTAAAAAATAAAAGTTGTTAGCAACATCATTCAAGTTAGATTGATAAAAGATCTTGTTTTGCTCTCTTGTGCAATTATCACTTTTATGTTTATAATACACGTAGCTAGTAAACCACTATCATAAGAATCAGTGGTCTACACTTGTTTTTCAAACCTTTTCCTTCAGGATAACAGCAAATAGTCTAGAAAAAACCAAAAGCTAGAAAAAGGTCATGAAGTCTGTCTCCAGGTCTATGCTTACAAGCCCTACTCATCAACAACTCATTTTTTTCCTTATCAACTGATAACTTCTCAAGGACAGAGGAATGGATGTGGATATTGCAGACCTAAGATAGCAATTCTCAAACATTACTCTGTGCACCTAAATCACCCAGAAGGTTTGATAAAACACAAACTGCTGGTCCCATCTCCAGAATTTCTGAAACGGTACACCTGGCAAAGGGTCTGCAGATTGGAATTTCATTTTTAAAATGAAAATGTTTGTAAAATGTTTGTCTGATTATCACATTGAAGAGAACCACTGGCCTAGGTATCTTCACACAAATCCATGACTTAAAAGTATCCTGCTCACCCCTTGAGAAAACAGTACAGAGATGATCTTAACATAACTTTAAAGCTATTTTCTTGGAGTTTGACATACATATTTGGAAAGCAATATATATTTTTATTAACACAGAAAATGAACTTGTGTATATTATTACGATCAATTTACTTTAAGTAATAAACCCTATCCTACCTTTTCTAAGATTGATCAAGCTGGACTACTTTTTTTGTGTGACTTTTCTCCTGTGATGGACTAAGCCATATGTACAGTTCACAGGAAGCCAACATATCTTTCAATTCAAATTACGAGACAAAAGCAAAGGAGACCAAAAACTGCCACGGAAAATTATTTGAACTCACCTGTAAACATTAAAATATTCTAGATTCTCAGCACTCTCTCTGACAGAGTAAATTTAACAATGTGGGTATTAAAGTGAAGGAAACTTTAATGCCTACAGGAAAAAATAAAACTTACTGACAGGGCTATCACTAAACTACAGTGATTTGAACAAAAAGTGCTAGCTGCCCATTACAACAATTACAAAAATGCACTAAGCAACTAAGGTGCTTTGCAATATTGTCAACTTTTCTCTCACCAGCAAAGTGCAGACACTTAGTTCTATAGCAAGAAGTCAATGTCAGCATTTGTCATTTCATTGTTTTCTCTGCTTCTTCATTTCTCATAGTACTATTACTGCAAAGGTAACCGTCTTTTACACAGTGCACACGATTACTAACTGCAAATGCGCTCCTCGGCGAGGTCCCAGGTGCTCTGGTTGCCCGCGGTGCGGACAAGGTCTAGTAAGGGCTCTCTGGAGGGGTAACCTTAGAAACACATGTGATAATGGTGGCATTCAGTCCTAAAGAAGCGGGTGGGCATGTTGGTATTTTCTAGTTACTCGTGTTTTTCTGCAACGGGTATTTTTATTTATTACCTTTATAACATAGTTTGTGTTTTGTGTGTTTTAAAGAGCAGGCCGGCTCTTCCATTCCTCTCTGCCCTGCAGTTCCAAGGCTTGTTTACTTTCTCTACAGAACGCCCCGGCCGCTCTCCACGCGCTCCCAGACTCGCGCCCGGCCAGTTTCCAGCCCGGCGCCCCGGGACTCGCTAATCCGCGCCCCGCGTTCCGGCGGGACCGCGGGAGGCGTCCCCCGGGGCCCAGCCAGCACGGCGCCGGGACGTGGGCACCCACCTGGACGGGGGCTTCAGGTTGCTCTTCCGGAGGAGCCCCTCCTCGTAGCGGAGCAGCTTCAGCTTCTCCACCAAGTCCTCCATCACCACGAACATGTGGTAGGCCGCGCCGGGCCCGCGCTCCACCACCGCCTCCCCGGCCCCTTCGCCGCGAGACCGAGACACCCCGTCCTCCAAGCCCGTCGGCGTGACCACGGCTGCGGCGGCCGCCATCGCAGCACCGACACACACCGGCGGGCTGTGTGGGTCCGGTCCCTGAGACCTCCGCGGCCTGCGCGCTGCCACCCGTTACCTGGCGACCGCAGGGAAACTGGTCACCAGGGAAACTAGACCCCGCCTCCCACCCGCCCTTCACCCGCCTCTCCAACCAGTGCGGGCATACAGCGTGACGTAACACAAAGCCCGCCTTGACCCGCCTCTAAGAGGGTGGGGAGAAGGCAGTCCCGGCCCCGTATGGGCGTGGCCTGCCGCCGGGCTCCTGCGGCTTTGGCTGAGCAGCTGTGTGAGCTGCCGGCTCCTAGCCCTCTGGGCTGCGCTAGCTGTGACTAGGCCCGCTGGACCTGGCTAACCAGAACAGCTGAGCGCGCATCTGGGCATCTGGTACCAGTTAACAAAAGATTAAAGGAAAGCGAAGGTGCGCTGTATAGGAAAAGAAGCTAGCTCACTGATTACTTCTATTTTCTCAGAATTTAAAGTTTTGTAGTTGTAGTGATAATTTGTACCGTTAGTTTCACCTTACGTTAGGACCTTCCCAATGAAATTAAAAAAGGAAAATTAATCGTTCATTAGGCAATAATGTATTTAGCAATATACAGCTTGAACATTATTTCAGTGCCTACTATGGCCCCAGTGCTAAAAACTACTGCTTAGTTGGTTGGGAGGGGATAGGGGACAAGACAGATGATGGGCAAGAAACTGGAGGAAAGTTTTTGCTACTTCAAAAACAAGAATACTAAGCTCACATCCCCCTGCTTAATCGGTTTCAAGCCCGTTGTGTGTGATAAAAAATACTTTCAAATACTTCCTTCACCACAACCAAAGGTATGGCTAGTTGCGTTGCTTTAACCAATAGACTATTTTACAAGGACTTTACACCTAAAGACAGTTTTTGTATTCTGCAGCAGTTGACCTAGAACATGCGAGAAAGTGGAACTAACAGACCACAGATGCGAGTCAGTTGTACAGTTCTCAAACAATTTGTGTATTGAACAATTTTTCTAACAGCTATGTAAAAACAGAAAAATGCTAGGTGCCTGACCATTTCTGGGAGAAGCTAGCTTAAGGCAAGATTGAAAATGTGATTGTGTTTATAATGTGGCTTTTAAGGAATCTCTGTACTCTTGTATCTGCTGCTGAAGAATATAGAAGAGTCACATATTTGACATAACTGAAATTTTCAAAGTACCTATAAATCCCCGGTTTTGTTGGAAAATCCTTCATCATGCTTTTCATTTAACTCAGCCAAATGATAACTTGTTTCTGATACTAAAAGAAGTATCTAAGTGAAAAAGGTAAATGCCACTATTTATTCATTAAATAGAACACATACATGCCATGCCCCCCCCCCAGCTCCGAAACAGCAATGGAGACTGGATATGGTGGCGTGCGCCTGTAATCCCAGCCCTTGAAAGGCTGAAAACAGGAAAATCACTATGAGTCCGATCTTTGCGGTGAGACCCTGTAGACCCAGTATTAAATGCATAAAATAAATGAATGAATAAAACACATACAGAAAAGTGCTGATTGTGCAGAAAATAACAAGTAAGAAACCCATTGAGAATTAGTTCCTGAATAGATGACATTGTTTGGGTCATTAGTTACAGTATTTGCTTTTAGAAAAAATCAGAAATGAAAATAGACCCTACTGCTAAGTGAGTCTTTCCTTAAGCTTTTACAAAACAGGGTCTCACTTTTTAGTATAGGCTGGCCTTAAATTCCCTTTGTAGCTCAGGATAGCCTGGAACTCCCACCAACCCTTCGGCCTCAGCCTCCTGGGATTACAGGCATGCATCACCACAACTGGCTCCCTAGGCTTCTTTGCACAGTGACCCCCCTACTCTACCACACACATACATCCACATGTGGAGCGCAAGGGAATATACAAACCTGGAGAATATAAGACAGATGTATAGTTTTTTAACATTGAAAACAAAAGAAAATTTAGATATATATTTTCAGGTACTTGATTAACTATCAAACCACCTATTGTCTTTTAAATACTCTCAGAAGCTCTCAGATTTAAAAGTTGAAATGCTTATGCCAAGGATCACAGTTGTTCATGCAGCCCACATAAGATGTGCTGACATTTTCAGAAAGTTATATAACACAGGCAGAAATAGTCAAAAAGTGCTTTTTGACTGACAGGAAACCTTCTAGTGGTGAATGTACTTTGACTTGTGTGGAAGTAAATCTTCTCCCAGAATTTAGCCATTTTCTTCCCAGGTATGGTATTGATTCAGCCAGGCTTGGAAGCAGTAAAAAGAAATTTTGCTTTTAAATGTGAAGAAGAAAAAGACGACTAAAGAATAAAAGTGTCCCTGGTAACTTTGACACAAAGAGAACGAAAGAAAAAAAATTACAGGCAACTGGCCAACTCTGTGTTTTCCCACTGGGGTCGGGGTGGGGATGGGGGTAGAGGAGGGACATGCTAGAAAACACCATTCTTTTTCTTTTCTTTTCTTTCTTTTTCTTTTCTTTTCTTTTTTTTTTGGTGGAACCAAGGATTGAAGTCTGGCCCTTGCGCTTGCCAGGGAAGCACTTATTCCACTAAGCCATCTCCCCAGCCCCCATCATTCGTTTTTATAAGGCATAGGAATAATTTTTGTTGATTCTTTGCTTATCCATAATAATTAACCTCATAATTACTTTTCTCCTGGCTGAGACAGAATACCTGACATTCTGAATTAAAGGGGGAAAGATCTATTTAGCTCACAGTTTGTAGAGGTTCCAGTCCATAGCTGGCTGGCTCCAAACAGGGCAGAATGACAAATGGGTGTCACAGAGTTCACAGGGGGCAGAAGGTAACAGAGCAAGCAAGGGAATGACAACAGCAACTTCTTTCTACCCCTTTATTATAGACTGCCCAGCTTAGTGTGGGTGCCAAGCCAATCAGTGGACTAATTTAGCAGTCATACATCTTTAATCCCAACATCCTTAATGCTAGCATTGTACCATGAATGGGTCCCAGCTTCAGTTACTCTAGATCCACCCCCCTCTGAAAAAGCTCTACCTGTGACTACATGAGGCTCTGTGGGACACATCTAGATACATGCCATAGCAGTTAGAAATGCACCAAAAGGTCTTTTTCTTAATGGAAATAGTTTCCTTCCTGTGTGAGATTGTCTCAGCTACTTTAACACTTCAGAATTCATTTGTCATAGTATTTTTATGCAGAACTAGCTCATTCATTGAAGAGTTAGCTAGAGCTTGAAGCAAATGGAATGTTGAGCCATGTTCATATTTTCTGCAAAAAGTCTTTAGTTTATCCATGGCAATACTGTATCGATGCTTCCTAGCTGAGTATCTGACTTTTATTTATTGCATGTCACCTGCAAAGTGATAGGAGGTAGTTTTTAAGGCACTTAAGGTCTTTCTGTGAACAAGGTAATCTCTGAAAACTAAACAAAATCAACCAAAGCTAGCTTAGGCTAAATGAATCGATTTCCTGGAAAGGTGCTTAGCAATACTGGGGGGGGGGGCAAATCTAGAGAGAGAGGGGAAGCCTTTCTAGAAGCTGCATCTCTAAATAGAAGGTTTAAAGAATAAACTGATGCTGTCATGTGAATATAGTTCGCTCCCACCAAAACCCACATGGACGTTGGGAGTGCTGGAAGGTTTGGCTTAGTGGACAGTGTGTGGGTGAATGGGCAAAGCTCTTGTGAGTGTGTTAATGGCTTTTGCTTTTCTTTTCTATTTTGTCTTTTTGAGACAGGGTCTCACTATTCAGTTCAGGCTGGCCTTGGACTCACTTTGCAGCCCAAGCTGGTCTCAAATTCAAAATGATCCTCCAGTCTCAGTCTCCTAGGTGCTGGGATTACAGGTGTGTTTCACTATGCCCAGCTTAATGTCTTTTCTTTTTTTTTTTTTTTTCTTTTAATTAGATTAGCTATAGTGGAAAATTGCTGCATTTTTCTTTTTACCACATATGTCCACTCTTAGAGCTACACCTGCCTTAACCTCAGCTCCTTCTCTTAGCTCTAACTAGACTCAAGGCACTTCCCAGGCACCCACTTTCCTAAATCACCAGAGCATAAACATCAGGCACTAGAAAACTGATACTCTTCTCCTTGCCATGGTCATGGTGGAATGACACATTTGGATGATGAAGATCCTTCCTGCTTCTTCTCTTGGGTCTTCTAATCACAATAACGTGTATTTTATTTTTTTTAATAACCTGTATTTGAAATTTTTTTTTCTTTTTGCGGTACTGGGGATTGAACTCAGGACCTTGTGCTTGCCAGGCAAGTGCTTATTGTATTGACCTATCTCCGCAGTCCAATAACCTGTATTTTATTTATTTATTGTACCTTAAACTTTAAAAAAATTTAATATAATCCAAGCTACATGATAATGATATAGGGACCTCCAAATGATATAGGGGAAAAAATGAAACTCCTGACCTGAAAGGTACCTGAGACGAGTTCGTGTTCTCTAAAACCAAAGAATGAATTTTAGGAACAAATAGAGGTTATAAGCAGAATATATTTATTGGGTGAAAGAAAGTTCCTGTCTGAGAGAGGGACACAAGGGGGACCCCGAGCAGGTGGTCCCTGGGAAGCTGTCTCTTCCAGGGACTTTTATAGAGGAAAACCATGTGGTGAGGAGAATCTAAGGTGGTGGTGAACATGGGAGCTCACTTAGATGGGCATGAGGTGGGACAAAACTATGGTCAGCCAATGAGATTACAAGCACCATTGCTCAGGTAAAATTGATTAAATCAGGATCAAATAGGGAAGTGAGTAATGTGGCAAGCAGACATGAATACAGGACAGGGTCTCTTCCTGTAGGGAGTTGGGTTAGTGATTTGGACTGTTTCAAGGTGATTGATACTTATTTAAAATATCAATCCCTGGTGCCCATTCCTAGGGAAGTATGTGGTTGTATTTGTTTACTCTTTTGTCTTGAGGTCTGGTCCACAGCGGGGAGTGTCTGTCTCTTCCCAAGTTGCAAAGTCACCTTGTTTTCCCTATTGTTTCTTTAGGGCCTGGCCCTGTCTGCCTATAATATTTTTATCTAATCCAGTTGCCAACCATAGTATCACCACCAACAAACTGTACCAGCAGAAACCCCCAACACCGTCCTGCACAT